TTCCTGGTACTGAGGTCAGGCTGACAGGCCTATAGTTCCCTGTATCCTCCTTACGGCCCTTCTTGTAAGGTGGGAGTCACATCAGCAAGCCTCCAATCTTCCGGAACCTCTCCAGACAACCAGGAACGCTGGTAGATGGCAGAAAGCAGGTCGGCAGTCACCTCTGCCAGCTCCCTCAGCACCCTAGGGTGGCTTGACTACGGCAAGGGGAGAAGGTCACTATGGTTTGGGGGGGTGCAATCTCTGCATCTTTCTCACAGAGTCACACCACCAGTCAGTCTCCCTCTCGCACTCTCTGATGGTTCTTAATCTCTCTACCTCCTTTCAAAGCTCCACCACCAGGCTGAGCAGCCCATCTATTTGCTCGCACCTCACTCAGGTGGCATCTTTCCCATCCTCCCCCGGCAGCAGCAGGCTCAGGCACTCCCTGCAGCCAGAGACCTGAACCGCCACATTTCTGGGCAGGCTCTCTGTCTGGGTCGCCACAGTCTTCTTGAGGCAAGCCGTCTGGTAGAGACCATGTTTGAACCTGCAGTCTCAGGGTCTGTCAGTAGGAGGGCAATCTCCTGAGCAAAAACGAGAACACTGACATGTTCTGCCACAAGACCCACCTCCTGCATCTACTGCTTCAGCAATAGGCAGTGTAGGCTGCGCTAGTACTCTGACTTCCCTCCCTGTTATTGGTAGGCAGTAAAACCCTTTTCTCACCTTTTCTTATCTGGCACACTAGATGGGCAGAAGCTAGCTTTCTCCCTCCCAAGGGCTGCTTTTAGTCTTGTAGAAAAGGGTCAAGGTCAAGCTCAGAGATAACAGTGGACAGTGCCAGCTCCATCCCTGCTGGCTCAGCAGCCTGCCCACAAGCTGCCAGTCCCTCCAACACTGGCATAGTGCTTTTGTTGGTTGAAAAAAAAAAAAACAAAAAAGAGCTTTTTGGTTGGCCTTTTTGCTTTAGGTGCCTTACCCAGTGCAATCTTACCTGCCCTGAAGCTGGTCTCCACAGCAATGACTTTCACATGGTAGGAAGGTGTTTAAACTCCACTGCGATTGTGCTAGCTCCGCCTCTGCTGGCTCAGCAGCCCGCTCACAAGCATATAAACAGGAGGGGGAACAGCTATCTTTTCAAGGGTGGATAGTGATAGAACAAGGTGGAATGGTTTTAAATTGAGACAGGGGAGGTTGAGGTTAGATATTAGGAGGACGTTTTTCACACAGAGGGTGGTGACGCACTGGAACAGGTTGCCCAAGGAGGCTGTAGATGCCCCGTCCCTGGAGGCATTCAAGGCCAGGCTGGATGTGGCTCTGGGCAGCCTGGTCTGGTGGTTGGTGACCCTGCACATAGCAGGGGGTTGAAACTTGATGATCACTGTGATCCTTTTCAACCCAGGCTATTCTGTGATTGTATGAAGACCAAGTGCTGGGTTCTGCACTTTGGGCACAATAACCTCGGGCAGTGTCAGGCTAGGAGCAGTGTAGCTGGATGACTGTGTAGAGAAAACAGACCTGAGGGTGTTGGTTGTTGCTCGGCTGAACATGAGCCAACAGTGTGCCCAGGTGGCCAAGAGGGCCAGTGCCATCCTGGCTTGTATCAGAAGTTGTGTTGCTAGCAGGAGCAGGGAGGTGATCATCCCTCTGTACTCCGCACTGGTGAGGCTGCACCTCGAGTTCTGTGTTCAGTTTTGGGCCCCTCGTGACATGAAAGACATTGAGGCCCCGGAACGTGTCCAGAGAAGGGCAGCAAAGCTGTGAGTAGTCTGGAGCACAGGTCTTATGGGGAGCTGTTGAGGGAGCTTGAATTGTTTAGTCTGGAGAAGAGGAGGCTCAGAGGAGACCTCATTGCTCTCTATAACTGCCTGAAAGGAGGTTGTGGTGAGGTGGGGGTCAGCCTCTTCTCTCGTGTAACAATGATAGGACTGGTGGGAATGGTCTCAAGTTCTGCCAGGAGAGATTCGGGCTGCGTGTCAGGAAATACTGCTTTTCTGAAAGAATGGTCAGGCAGTGCAATGGGCTGCCCAGGGAGGCAATGGAGTCACTGACTCTGGAGGTGTTCAAGGAACCTTTAGATGTTGTACTGAGGGACATGGTTTAGTGAGAACTACTGGTGATAGGTGGTCAGTTGAACTGGATGATCCTGGAGGCCTTTTCCAACCTTGGTGACTCTGTGATTCTGTGATGCTAAATAGAGCTCAGGCACCTTAGTTTAAAATCCAAGATCTTGGAAAAACATCTCCATCGTGTTTAGGTCACTGTCAGGGTGCAAGTTGTTGGAGTAGTGTCTATATTGACTACTGTCAGTACAAAATATAACTCATTTGTTTACGGTTTTTATCTTAAGAAGGAGGCACAAACTGTTACCAGCAAGGATCCTGCTGTGTTTTGTAATGTCAGCTGAATTCAGTTACAGATGAAGTGTATGAAAGCACAGACAATCTTACTTTTAGAGTTTTGCCAGTGAAAAGAGGATATAGGAGCACAAACCAGTTTTATTCTTTGTAGACATTCATGAAGGCAGTGTGAATTTTTCAAGTTTCATCTTACTAATGAGGGCTGAAATAGTAATAGTAACTGTATTGCATAGTACATAGCAGCCCCAGTCATGTACAAGGACTGATCCAGAAACCAGATGGAAAGAGTGTACTAATGAAAAGTGGATATAGTGTAGGGACTGTGTGATAGGAAAAATAAATATAGAAAGACTGCTAAAAAAGAAAGTGATTTACATGGTAGCCTACTGTTACATGGTACTTTTCTTTCTTTTTTTGTTGTTCCATACAACAAATGAAGAAAGAGCTTTAAGACTGTGGTGATACATGAAGTGTGTTTTACCTCAAAGGCAACTTTTTATTCATGGAAAGAATGCTTAATATGACTTCTGTCTGTCGTGTTTGCACTTGCAGTGTTGGCAGTGGCACTGGCTTTGTACAGGTCTGGGGTCCTGATACTACTGAGGCGGGCAGCGCTGTCACTGAAATCTGCCTCATGCTCCCAGGGGAAGCCTGGATCAACATGCATGGGTTCCTTCACTGTCTATCTGCCCTTCTTCAACCAGGAGCTGGCAATTCGTACTGCTTCTAAATGCTGTACCATACCCTTGCCCAGCCTTGTGCACAAGGGGATGCATGAGGATCTTGCATCTCTCCTGTATGTGTGTTAATCCCATCTATCCCCTTTTACTCAAGCCTTTAGGATATATGATCGAAGGCAACGTCTTCTAAAGGTTTTGCCATACGGTGCGCAGGGTATCCCTTTCCACCTTGTCTTCCCTCTGCCACTGGTCTCTTTAGCTGAGCAGACCCAGGCTGCTTGCCCATTGCATGTGTAAGACTTCTGTCAGCTGTTGTCAAGATTTGAAAAGTGACCCACTTTGTGCTATGTATGTTTTATGGTTTTGTCTTTATCATCATACATCCAATGTACCTAATGCTGAATCTCATTACTGGCAGTATGCAGGATAAGGTGTTTCAGGGTAAGTTGTAAGCAGTCGTCACTGAGCAATTACAGACTCTTCTACCTTTTTGAAGAAGAAATTTTCATGACCGTGCCACTTGCTTTTGTTACACACTTTGGAAAGTGACCTGTTCTTTATGGTGTGTTCTTTTTTAAGCAGAAATCCCCATTGTCTTTATAAATGAATTTTTGTTCTTATTGGTATTACCACAGAACAGCAGGGTCTGTGGCCGGATGAATTGGGGTCTCTTTGTTTTAAGTTGATTTGTATGTGAATAGAGCAGGAGACGTGCTGTTCCAGAGATGTTCTTGCTTTCAAATGGGGGGAAGTGTTAGGTCCAAGAACAAATCTAAATCAACTGAATGGATGAGGTCTACTAAACATCTCATCTTTCATAATGCTAGGGGTAATACCCACTTAGGCTGTTGTTTTTATGGCTTTTAATATTAATGCTTCTGTTTTCCTTTTGCAATTGAAGTTCATTCTGTGATGAAATCTGGCTCTGACTCAAAAATGTTGATTCTCAATGAAAATATTTACCGTGGTAGATTATAAAAATCCCAAATCAGATTTATAGTTTGCTTGATTGTCAGCCTATCTAGAGTGGGTGAACTGAAATGTTTCTGGGTTACATGTGTCTGCCTTAATATTTTTAGAAATTGCATAAATACTGTGGTCTAGAGAATGAGTGAATGCATTTGGAGCTGCTTAGGTACCATGAAAAGATGACTTATCAGATCTGTGTACGGAAGAACTGTTTTGGATCAGAGTTTGAAGTAGCTTGGCAGGCTTTTTGATCTGTGTTGAGTTCCATACTGCAATAGGGAATGGACTGTGTGTACCTGTGGCAGTGTGCCTGCAGAGAAGCACTGCTGCAGTGTTGTGCCAGGTAAATATTAAGTGTTCTCTTACTACCGGGTTATCAATGGGCATTTCCTTTCTTGCTATTCCTATTGCAAATTGCTTGAAAAAAAAATGTTTTTGTAGGGTAGTTACTAATGATGTGCTGTCATGAAAGGCAGATGTATCAAATGGGCTTCTCCAGGGATCTATCTTTGGCCCAGTATCATTATCCAAAAATTCTGTTAACCACATTGATGATGAAAATAAAGAATAAAGCTATCACAGGTGTCACCATTCTAGAATAAATTTAGACCAATTAGCTTTGAAAGAGCCTACGGCACAAATCTGTTTTGCAAAGTCAGGGTTTTTTTTTTCTTAATTAGTTTATAAAATAAATTTTCAAGAAAGAGAAAGTATAACAATGAGAAAAAATACATATGACGTTCTAACTCAAATAAGAATTGCTGCTGCAAAGAATGAACAAGTGATTAGACTTGTTCTTTTAAAGGTCACTTATGACAGAAAGATGAAGCGAGGTCTGCCTGATCTAGAAGAAAGTAGACAAGCAGGAGAACTTACAGTCTTCAAGCATTTGAAAAGTAATTTAAAAAATATTGGGGACCATCGCTGTTGGAGATGACACGTTGGGTGTTTATGTTGCCTTTAGCCACATATGTAACTAAAAATATGTCCTTCTGTCTTTCCCCAACAGTCTCCAAACGTCCACAACTACCCAGATATGGAAGCTGTGCCCTTGTTACTAAACAACATGAAGGCAGATCCCCCGGAGGATTCATTATCTGCAGATCATTTCCAAACACAGACTGAACCAGTGGACTTATCAATAAACAAAGCCAGGTCATCCCCTACAGCAGCTTCATCTTCACCAGTTTCCATGACAGCATCAGCCTCCTCCCCTTCTTCTACTTCTACTTCTTCTTCTTCAAGTCGACCAGCTTCATCACCCACAGTAATAACGTCGGTATCCTCAGCAGCATCTGTACCATCAGTATTAAGTCCAGGTCCTCTTGTGGCCTCTGCATCTGGTGTGGGAGGTCAGCAATTTTTGCACATTATCCATCCAGTTCCACCTTCAAGCCCCATGAACTTGCAGTCCAATAAAATGAGTCACGTGCACCGTATACCCGTTGTGGTACAGTCGGTACCTGTTGTCTATACAGCCGTGAGATCACCTGGGAATATGAACAACACTATAGTAGTGCCACTGTTGGAGGATGGGAGAAGCCACGTCAAAGGTAAGGTAGAACTGGTTTTGTGTGTCTGTGGCATCTGTAAAATCATTCTTGTATGAGGAAAACAGAACAGCCTTACAAAACTGTTAGTTTACAAGCTTGCTGTGTCATTTGCCAAAGTGACATAGAACTTCAGCTACTCACAGAGGACCTTTACAATTCTTATCCTCTGTGCTCTTTAAAATAAATTCCAAAAAAATAGTTGAGGTCAGCTGTGATGTTAGGTGCCTCATGTCAAGTTTTGTCCTGTGAGAAATAGATAATTCCTAGGAACTGAAGAAATAGGACAACGGAGTAATGACAGTGTATAGAATATCATTGAAGGACATGAAAAACTCACCAGGTGATACAAAGCTCAAAAAACAAGAGCAGGAAGGAGAGTCAGAGAGATTGTTTCCATCAAAGAGAAAGCACTTGTTCTCTTGGAACGTGAGAAGGGAAGGTTTTTGGAATAAAGAGCAGGTTTTATTAGGCTCAAGGAGTGGCATATTTTGAATGAAGTTGCCTCTTCCAGATTAAACAGCAGGAGGGAAGGAAACCACACAGAGTGCTGGGAATGAGTTTTGCAGACGCAGGATATAAGAGGCTCGTGGAGGTGTGAGGAGAGGAGGAAAGCACATGCCAGAAGGACAGATATGGTTGTAAAGGGGAGTCCAAAGAACACAGAAAGGGGATATGGAGAGCAAGAAAATATGAGAAAGTAACAGTTACCAATGCAGCAAAAAATTGTTAAGAGATGATGATATAATGGATAGAGGTAGAAAAGAGAAAACAGATGTGCCCAAATGCCTTGAAAAGTACAGCCTTATAAAGAAGGACATTAGTGACAGAAATGGGAACATGAGGTAGGGAATGAGGGATACCCATTTCAGGGTTCACTGTGTATGGGCGTATAAAATATGGCTAATTCTCCCCTGAAGTGAGGTATTGCTTGAAGCGGAAAGGAAGGCTACTGACAGATAACCTCACTTTAGGGCTTATGAAGTTATGGGACATTTAGTAAGGCATTATGTCTCTTGGGTACCTAATTGCATAATGAACAGATACCCACAACTGAAAGACGTTTTCTTTTAACTCTCATGTCTACCTAGTAGTGTATATACAACAGTGGTTGGTCATTCTGATGTTTAGTACTGTTCTGTTGTCCATAAGTCTGTGGTTCTCCTCCCATTCCTTCAGTGCTCAAGTATGAGGTGTGTCCTTTTTACAGGCTTAAAGCATAGAAACCAAACTCAAAGCAGATCTGTGTTTCGTTTTAAGCCTCAAAATGACAGTTTAAGAAGTTTTAGTACATTTCATACAATTACGCAGTTTTAGGACCTTGTGGCATTTTGTCAAGAAGTGATAAATGAAAGCAGAATGTTTCACCATGTTGTCTGAAATTTAAAAAAAAAATAAATCAGTTTTAGCCTGTATTTTGGTTTTGGAGCTTTGAGCAGCACCTGACCTTGAGCTCATCCGGAATTTCTGCCATGTGTTTTCTTTTCTGAGGTGCTGCTTGGCTCTGCTAGTACTCTCCTCCATGTGAAGGACCTCTTGATCTTGTAAAAGTTGGAAATTCACTACCCTGGCTTCATCAACGAAATTCCAGAATTTAATACGCTGTAGGGATTTCAGCCCACGAGCTCCAGGCCTCCTGAGCTGCCCTGACAATCTCTCTTTTGTACTGTTATTGGCAGAGACCATTAACCAGCCCTGCAGCACCTATTAAAGCTAAAGGAAAAGAAGGAATTAAGTTTTTTTTGTTTTTTTCTCGTCAATTGTACCCATTTTGCTTTCACTAATTAATTTGATAGAAATGTTCAGGTGAATTTGAATTAAATACAGTAGAAGAATAATGGGCAGCAGTCCACTCAAGGTAGTCATTTTTTGTCATCTTTTGCTGGAGTGTATTTTTCTCTTATTTCATGTAAAACAATATAAATGTAACAGTGATGTTGCATGAAATAACTGATTAAACAAATTTCGTAAATGCACGGATTAACTTGTCTTAGCTCTAAAGAAGTGAATGGACTGAGGCTAACAAGACATCTTTGACAAAATGAATTGACTACTAATCCTCTGTACCAACTGAGGGAGAAACACAGGTTCAGAAATGTCTGAAGTCACTACTTCTGTCGTTTACATGAATGTTAATCATTTTCTGAAACAAAAAACATGCACGCTGAAACAAAGTCATCTGCTGATGTTATCTGATAGCATCAGCAACACTGGTCCCATAATTTATGTATTCTTGTTGCTTCGGGTCCAACTCATGATACAAGAGTGTTTTAGGGTAGCACTTGCTGTTGGATTTTACATGAGTTTGTATTGATGTTCTTTTCATTGGAATGAAACTTAGGCATTTTCCTGAGCAGATACACTTTCAGTTGTAAAACCATCCAAAATTAAGTGCAACCTGGTTCAGAGCAGGGAAAAATGCAAGAGATGGGAAATACAGAGAAATACTTTCCATTGTTATTCCCTCTCAGATCCCAGTTTTCCTTGTGCTGAATTGTCCTGTTCCTCCCACGTTTTACTAGAAGCTTTTCATTTTTAACCTCACAAACTTCCTTTATCAGTTTAACCCTCCCTCCAGATATTTTACTCAGGTGGCTTACTGCTTCTCCTAGTGCTTTATGGGAACCTCTCTCTCCAAGAAAACTAGCCTTCCAACAGCTGCTTTGTAGACAGTTCAAGTAAAATCTACTCTTCTTCATGTTCTGTTTGAGTACTCTCATTATTTCAGGAGAAGGAATCTGTTTCTTTGTGTCCTCTATCTTCCTCTCTTTTCACCTCTTTTTTTCTACTTTACTTATTATTATCCTTCCTTATTTTTCTCTGAGTTAGCAGATCTGTTTCATCTCTTCCTCCTTATCTGTTAATATTTCTGTCCCACATTGTTGTCATCTCTGCTGCCATGCTTTCTTATCCATGGCATCACTGATCCACGCACTTTCAGTCACACCTTCCTCCTGTGGAGTCTGAAATCTACTTCTCCTCCTCCTCCATGTGTGCTGCTCATTTCTGTTCTGTCTTGCCTCCTCTATCCTATTTTTCACTTGCAAGATTCCCTGTTAAAATCCAACCTTTTCTGCAGCACTGAAAACTAGATCATTTTGCAAAGAAATAGCTCCCATATACCTGAGATGCTAGCAGCACAGATTCATAAAATCACAGAAAGGCTTGTATTGGAAGGGACCTTAAAGATAATCTAGTTCCAAACCCCTGCCATGGGCAGAGTCACCTTCTACTAGACCAGGCTGCTCAAGGGCCCATTTAACCTGGCTTTGAACATTCCTTGAACACTTCGAGGGATGGAACATCTACAGACTTTCCGGACTACATTTTCCAGTATCCAGCTACCCTTAGAAGTAAAGAATGTCTTACGTATATGTCTATTCAAAGTCTACCCTCTTTTAGTTTAAAGCCATTACCCCTTGTCCTAATACTGCATGCTCTGACAGAGAGTCTCTCCTCATCTTTCCTGTAGCCCCCTTTTAAGTATTGGAAGTCCTCAGTGAGGTCTTCCCAGAGCCTCCAGGCTGAACAAACCAAATTTCCTCAGTCTTTCTTCATAGAGAGGTTCTCCAGCTCTCTGAGCAGCTGCATGGCCTCCCTGTCTTTCTTGTCCTGGGAGCCCCAGGCACTGGCACAGTGCTCCAGATGGGGCTTCATGAGGGCGTAGTGGAGGGGGACAGTCGCCTTCCTCACCCTGGCAGCTATGCCTCTTCTGATGCAGGCTAGAGTACAGTTGGCCTTCTGGGCTGAAAGTGCGCCCTGCTGGCTCGTGTTGAGTTTTTCATCCACCAGTAGCCTGAAGGCCAGTTCTACATTTGTCACTCAGCGTATACATGCTTGGGATTACCCTGACTAGGGTGCAGAACCTTTCACTTAGCCTTGTTGAACTTCATGAGGTTCACATGGGCCCAGTTTTGAAGGCTGTTGAGGTCTCTCTGCTTGGCATCCCATCCCTACAAAGTGTCATCTGTACTGCTCAGCTTACTGTCATCTGAAAGCTTGCTGAGTATGCACTACATTTCCACTGTCCGTCTCACCAGTGAAGATACTAAACAGCAAGGGTCCCCTGCAGGACACCTCCTGACACTGTTCTTTGCCTGGACATAGAGTCACTGACTGCTGCTCTTTGGAAATAGACATCTAGCCAATTCCTTATCCACTGAACAGTCCATCCATCAAATCTGTCTCTCCAATTTAGAGGAAAGGATGTTGTGTGAGAATGTATCAAAGTCCAGGTGGATATGTCAGTTGTTCATTCTTTATCCTTAATCATTTCCCTGTCTTCCACATGCCATAACATGTTTTTGAGCAGGATCTACTCAATTAAGTGACGAGGCACAGAAATGAGCGTCCCATCAGGTCCTGTGTTACATACTATGTTTCAGGAGGAGCGACAGGAACCCTGGCTTTGCTACAAAAGCACCTTGCTGTCAGACTGTTTCAGAATAAAAACATCTCAGTTCACCTGATTTAAACCAAAATCAGAATCTGTATTTTGGGGATTCATTAAAAGTATATAGTAAGAAGGTATTGAGGGATTATACATTCAGGATATATGCTGGTAATGTAACATCAGGAATGTGTAAGTCTCCGTAAGTACTTACACATTTCTAACACCTTTATGTGATCTCAAAACACTCTAATCACATGCACATGCAGATAGACACATACTTTCCTACTGTCTTTGAGACTTCCCATCCTGATACTCTCACTGCTGCGGGTGGCCCTACATGCCGCCCCTGCACTGCCAGCTCACCCACAACCCAATCCTTAGGTTATTCCATATACACAGAGTGATGCAATATGTTAAGGCTGTCAGGACTCAGGGGGGATGGAAGCCATGCAGTTATTCCTGGGCGCCATGAGTTCCTCAGCCCCTATAATGTGATGAAGGGATGAAGATTGCTTCCTTCAGTGGTCACTATTATACTCTGTCATCAGAAATTTTGAAAGAGATTTCAAGATGTTTTTGTGTGTTATGACAGCTAGGCATTATTACATAT